CCAATATTTTGCGATGTCCTACTTTGTGCGGGCACCTCTAATCAAACAAAAGCAACCTGCAACGTCTTTTGATGTGACTTTAAAAGCAATAATCGCAGCTGAAATTTAAGACACTTCAATATTTTTTCTTCACCAGTCAGCGCTTTTTCTATGGGATTCTGAGCGACAGAGTAAAGTAAATCACTTGCTAACGAGGGACGACAAGTAGAATATTTTGTTCCCCCCGCCGCCCTACCACACACATGCCCGCTGTCGCACCCGCCGTCTCGTTTGCAGACGGCTGGAAAAGCGCAGTGGCGCAACGAGCGCTAGTGAGAATTTATCTCGTACTCAGGGTGCGCCATGCAAGGCGACAGGCGGCGCAAGTACTACCGTTCGGCGGCCGGAGCGCTGTTTCAGCTCATATTGTCCGCGATAGTACATAAGCGGCTCCGCGTGGCGAGCCGCAGTCAGTTTCGCCCCAGCGTTTGACTCTGCTGCTATGCCGACTTCGACGCCGCGCCGCTCTGTTATTATCTTTTGTACCCTTTCATTTTTGGCCCAAGTTCGCCACATTAAACGTTTATTTCTTCCTGTTTATTTCTTGTTGTTTGGTCACCACCCGTGATAATATCATCTACTTTATAAAATTAGAAATTGAATTTAACGTTTAAGATAAACAATGTGTGCATCTAATTTCCACCCCTGTAGATTTTGTGTTTTCAAAATCAACAACATGTGTACAAAGCGAAGAATATTATGACGGGCGGATTTAGTCTGTAGGTACCATTGAATTTTAATTCAAACACTTGTCTTCAGTATCGCACAAGATGATACACACCTGTGCTCATAAGCGGACGGATTACTGTGCTGTCTACATGGATTAAAATCGGATATGTAGCAGTCAATAAAATTGCTTTCAATATTCCTTTCCTGCCTAAACGTGTTCCATAGGTGCGACACTGGATGAGGAGCACAATGGCTTCTTCAGTCCAAAAGATTTTTGAAAGGTAAAAGTGGTTATCTCAAAACATTATCAACAGTTTTAGGAAGCAACACGTGTCATTCCAACATCAGGGAGCAAAATCAGCGTTGATAACAAATGGTATGCTTATGTTACTTATGGATGCTTGAGGTAAGTGACCTATTGCAGCTGGTTATCATAATGCTAAGTTGCTTAATTTTCAAGTGAATTCTAAAAATCCACTATTTTTGTGAAATTCTTCTGAAGTTCTTTCGATTTTAAAGTTAAACATCTCGAGAGATTATTAAAATTGAGGAGATTGAAGTGCTGCATAGATTTCAACGCCTTTAAGTCAATGGTCCCTTTTAATTATATTGACAAATATAAGTGCTGCTCTTCTTATTGTGTGTGCGCCTTCTCTTACATTTGTACAACAAAAGATGCAAACTACAATCTAAAATATATTGAGAGACACGCATCCTTCATCATTATGTTTGGCCATAACTCCACACAAAATCCTCTATCAAACCTTTTCTTTCAGGGCCCGAAACAATAAATATGCCTCGGTGCCACATTAAGACTCAAGGGGAGGTCTGGTCTTACAGTCTGAAAAAACCTCCTCGGTTTTGACATTTATGCGAGGGCAAGCATTGTCTTCTCAATACTTGTTTGGCCGCACACGCCGGTAATGTCGAGAACTGGAATTTCATCTCCTCACTGAAAGCTGTATGGCAATTTATCGAGTTCTGGTTCGCGCGAATAATGCCATCGGCGTGCAGCAACATCTATTATTTTGTTTTGGCGGTGGCAGGTCACCCAAACCGCTGCTAATCATGCAGATATGTTGCTCTTCTTTCTGAGGCCCATTTTTTTAATATGTTCTTAAGACGCGTATTTGGCTTTACATGTGGGGTGGCAAACAAAATACAACAAATTAAAAACAGTAGGTAAAATAAGATAAGAAAAACACTCTAACCTCTTGGTACGTGCCTAATACACTTGCGAGTCAAGCTCACGATACTTGATTCCTGACTAATTACAATACGCTATCAGGATGAGAGTTCCACCGAGAAATTAATAATTGAAGAGGTGAAAATTTCTAGAGGTTTGTTTTGTTGTGACCAATTAAACTTATCAGAATTTGCAGTGCGTGGGGTATGTGGTATGCGATCGGATAATATAAACGTCTCTTTGATGGGCAATGCTAATTCAAGGGGCGTAACGAGTCCAGTCTGTATTTGTCCCTTCTTCCTGCGAGAAAATCGTTATCGAGATCGTTTTTTATTAGTGCAGTGCTTGTGCACGAGTAATATTTTTGAATGAGGATTGTGTCATTGTTTTGGGCCAATTTGTTTTAATTAGGTGAGACACATCAGGGTTCTTTTCTTACATATGCATTATCCAACTGACGGTCCACAAGGGTGGTGCGGGCCAAAAGTTTTGTTTCCCAATCAATCATGTATAGTGTTCTTCTTACAAACAACAATAAACCTTGGCTTGCCTTTACGGCGGTCACGTAATTGGTAGGTGTTTCCCAAGATATGTTTAAAGTGAAATAAACCAGAATATATGTATATGTGTGTATACACATAAATATCTTGGAGAACATTTATCTGTATCTGAACACCAATTTGATATACCAAACAAGGCAATTTCGGAGTTCAGTGCATTAATAAATACTGAATATTTCTAGTTACTACATACTCATCATACAAATGAACTGTTGCCTGGAAACTTGTAGGAAAGTCGGCGACATAAAAAAGGAAAAGTAAAGGCCTCGGCACCGGCCTCGCGGTACCACTAACTTCACGTTCTCGTGAGATGGGCATTCTTGATCAATGAGAATAATTTGTGTGCGGTTGAAGAGAAAATTTTTAATAAATTTTATTACGAAAGGTTCTACTTAGAAAGTGTGTAATTAAATAAGTGTGTAATGCGGGACTTTATCAAATGTCTTTCGAAAAGCAAAAATAAACCGCATGGGTTTCCGCTTTAGGGTCAAGGCTCCAATGTAAATTTGTTGGTAATTCAAAAGGTTGGCTTTCACAAAAAGGAAGTCCACAAAATTTGTGCCGAGTTCAAAAAAAAAGAAAACTGCCGAAAGCCATGGTCCTTGAAGCAAGCATCCAACCATGCTCATATTGATTTTACGAATTCCTTATACAGCAATGAAACGGTTGGGAAGCTTACACGCCGTTTTTTTTTATCTAACTGAAAGTTTTTAACTACTGACTATTTGTCATGATTGTCGTGCACTACTGCAGCACTCACCTTTGGGCGATTACCATACAATTACACACAAGTATAAAGAAAACATTGCTGTTGCAGCCTGTGCATTTTTATATTACTAATATTATTTTCAGTGAAATAAACAAAAGAAATGTGAGCCTATAATGTTCCTATAACTCTGTACAGACCCTAAGAATAGGTACTTAATATTTATTGCTGATTTTAAGTAAATGAAGTCATGGATGACTGCGATTATCCTTGCGCTTGTGCGAGCCTTTAACTATAAATCACGTGCAAAAACGAATTCCGATTTCCTATCATAGTTTCATTTTTTTAATATGTAAAACCTTATTTTGAGCAATGTGTATACGTACGTGAAATTGTGAGCAATTAAGTACTAATGTGGCATCTCATTTACCTTTGTCGAGCATTTGCGTGCTTCAATCATATGCCATGCGTGTACAAGCAAAAAAACTTTCACAAATTAGATCTCTCCTTACAATATAGCTTCTGAAGGTCACCGTGACCTCTGGATTCCATGCTACATAAAATGTGTGTAAAAAAAGCAGCAAAAATAAACAGAGGTGCAATAAATTGCAATGCCTGATAATATTTTCGTTATGTTCTCCCGAAACAACCTCCAGGGAATCAGAAAGGAGTGGGAAAGCTTTTCCCCAGCTTTGCAGCGACGCGCCGAATACCTGGCATAAAACCGGCAAGCCCAAAATGAACACAAGCTTACACCCACGTGAAGACATTTTAATTTCATCCTGATTGTGTGACGCAGCAATACGTTGTCCAAAATATAAGCTTCGTATGGCGACTTCTATCATCATAAACATTAAAATTTACGCACCGCTAGTTTCTTCTGGTTTGCCTAAAATAACTGGATAATTGAAAAGTACTGCCATTGCTTCCCTGCCTACTAACTGGACACAGATGCTAACATGAAAGCGACCAAACCTAGCAATATGAAGGGCTGATCGGTTTTAGTTGCCATGCCAACCTCCATTCCGGTTCCTTGAAATCTTCGTATTTTCGAAAAGGTCATTGCGAACCAGTCGCTCCAAGATCGCTATGAAGCATCATTATATTAAAAGCGTTCATCGTAAATATAAGCGCAATACGCATGAAATAAACTTATCACTCATGCTTACCTCCCCAGATACCTTACAATGGTATTATTGCTACTTCAAGACAGAAAAATTATTTTTCTATGACTCCAAGCATGAACGCTGTATGTGGTGAAGGTACGATGTACGCTTGTTTCACAGGTGTGTGGGTATAGAAATCTAGGTATATAAAAAAGAAAACGTTCTTGAAAGCGTCCCGCCACTAGAAAATTTAGGGGCGTTCACCAAGAATAAAGAAGTCCCGGAGAAACTCTGCATTATATGAAATAAAATGGCGACCATAAGAAAACTTTGGAGTTATTTTCTCAAGATCCCGTGACTTTAGAGTTGCCTAAATGTTTTTTATGCGATTTGGCTCTTAGAACGATAGTTTTCTAGCCGTGCTTTCAAGATTTTAGTCTTCAATTGATATAACAAACTAATAAATACAAATATTAATATCTTAGATCTACTTGAAGGCGCACTTGTTTTCCTTAATTCATATTATTCACCTTTACATATCTGTCAATCTATCAGGTATACGCTTTTTCCGTGACAATGTTACTGCGGATTAATAAACGCTTAGCTTTGTAAAGTCGTATACTGAAATGAAACAAGCGTTTTAATCCCACAAAACCATTGCGAGGTCTTTATTTTCCTAGTAACGGTTTCACTACACTCTTGTCAGGCGAGAGTAGCATGCTTAGCGTGCACAACTAGCAACTTGCATCGTAGATGTAGTACTTCTCCATTGTGCCGCAAAGAAGGTCAAAAATAAAATCACAGCAGGTGGTGTTCTTGTTCAACACTGACTCGGGCACAAGCAAAGCACACGCTGTATCTGCAAGATTCAAGTATCTTAGAAAATTGCGCCTATCAATACATTCCTCAAGTAAAAGGGGTCTTCAAAACGTTTTCCGCGTCTGACTCTGATTACAATTTAGGACAGGGTTGCATGGTTTATATAATTTATGAGTTTTAAAGGCTTGCGTACAATCTAAATTCTTCAGAACCTTCCCCTCCTTCTTTTTGCTGACAGCATCGATTCCTAGCAGAAGGAGGGTGTTATATCGATATCGTGTATGTGAGAAACGTATCTCAAGTCATACTTATTTGTACCATGATGTGTTCATTTGTGACTGACGTCAATGGGCTACCTCACCTGTGCCATTCCTATAATTTCTCACTGCTCTGTATTGGGCTGTTTTTGAATTAAGCACACCAGTCTAGTGCATCGAAAAGATGTACTAAGCCAGAATTGTGTCCCGGGCTTTTATTTACAACAGGAAAGAAACAAAAGCAAGAAAAAATGGTTTTGCGGTCCAAAATCTTGACTGAAAGGTTTGGAATAATCACAAGTTTATAGGAGAAAAAATTTAGTAATGAGGAGGTTCAAGCCAACATTTGTGAAACTCGTAACCGGTCGTCACCCTTTAGAAGATTGGGAGTCGAAAATAGCACACAAAATATATATTTAATCTTAAAAGCTTTCACTTGCTTTAGGGCAGTGTTCCTTACTTTTTAGCGGAGGCTGTCTATAGGGATCACATAATTTTTTTAACAACCACTAAGAGCGAAAACACGTTGGGTAAAACCATAGAAAAACAAACATAAAAGCTAACACAAAATCACAAATTAAAAGAAAAGAACTGCAACTGTTTAAAGTTGTTTCGCATGTAGTGGCTGCGGGAACTAAAAGGGATGCTGAACCGAAATGTGGATACCACAAAACACGCGGCAAAAGCGTGCAACATTATGCTACAAACACCAAAACATCACTCATACCGCAATATCTTGAACGGATCACCGTATTTTTCAAGAAAAGAAGGCGCATTTCACAGAAATGTTCACGTCATGTTTCTCCGAGAAGGAGAGGGAACGGCCTCGTGTCTTCTCCACCTCGCGGCCTTGAAGGAACGACGCGAAGAGAGGAAAAAACAAGGTATCTTCACGTCACGCGCCTCGTCGGCCTGGTTCAATCTGGACCTCTTTTTCAAAAAAATACGGCCGTCCATTTGAGATATCGCCTTACGACTAGTGTTAGAGGGATTGTAGCGTTCCGCCTAAATCTCCTGCACTGTTTTTTCTGAAATCCAAATTTCGGTTCACCATTCCTTTAAAACACACAAGTTGCACGTTTTGATATGAAAGAGTTCTTACTGCTGATGTAGGTGTTCCTAAGAACGAGGCACTGCTCGCACTCCGCATATGCGCCGTATACCTCCACCGATGTACTTCCTGCAAATATATAAGAAAACATTGCGCAAGCTGAGTGGGAGCTATCCGGCATATCCCTGTCTTATATAAAACAATAATTGCAAAAACCTGACACACAAACAACGTCAGAAGAGAAATAGCGTATTCAATATTATAAAATACTGGTCTTTTATGACTTTGTAGATCGGATATTTCGGTAAGTTCAAGCGCCTAATAGAAAAACATTTTTGGTATCTCTACATAAACAAACTTACCTAACTTTACATGGGCTCAATTAGGTAAAAAAACACATTTAAAATATTTTGAAGAAATTTGGGATTTGGACATTTCAGTCATACGTACCACCTGTAGGAGTAAGGCTCAATATGTTTTTGCCCGTGTATCCAGGGGACGACTCAAGTGTCGTGCTTGCCATACTGGGTAAAAAGTGCGAGACGAAACTATTAGAAATCAAAATATATACTTCGCAGAAAAAAATGCATACTCTTTTGAGTTTCTAAAGCTAAGGTACCTGTTGCCACCGTGAGCAGAGTGCACCTTAATAAAATCCCACATGTATCCATGCCAGACGGCACAAATACTTCTTGCTCCCAAGATATTGAACTTGATTTATAGAATGTTTCTCATCCGTATTTGCATCAGAGAAAAATAGCAATGTAGCTGCTACTTTAGCAGCTGGCTTCTCTGAGGAGACGGACGCCTTTCTTGGAAGAATCCGCCGAAATTCTGGCTGTTACATTTTGAAACCTAGACCGCTTCCACCACACGGCATGAACTAGTTTACAATTTTAGCACAATGAAAGTACGCTCCGCTTCCGGCGCTGAAGGGCTTCCATAGGAGCTCCACAATATTTTTTCGTGTCACAGGCGACACGTTTGTAAAAATTGTGGAAATAAGTTTTTAACTCTGCACTTTCGCCACCTTTCACTAGGCGTGGGCGAATAATATTGTTGATAAAGGAGGAAACCCCACATCACCGAACGCGTGGAAGCCTATAATTTAGCTGAACGCTGATTATCAAATGCTAACATCCTGTTTGTCAAGCGAATCCGAGAGGGCACGCCGTATATTGCAGGTTCACCTCAAACATATGCTGTGTTCCTGGAAGGAATATATTCACGTTAATATTACTGATGCACGATTTGTTCGCGTATGCAATATCTCAAGGCCTTCGTGGTGTTCATATATCACTAAACCAATCTAAAGCTTTAGATCGTGTGCGGCATCAGTGTCTTTTTGCGTAGCTCGACGGGTTTGGCTTCCCTGAGTTCATACAATTGGTGTAAACCTTGTACACTGATATGCAGGCTGGATTGATTGTTAAAGGGCAACTCCGGTCCATAATTTCAATTTTAGAATTTTGACTGTTTTAGTGCAGTTGGCGTCCCTGAATTGCAAGGTGTAATTTTTTACTCGTTATTGTGCGTAGTTTTAAAGATATCGACGGCTCAAGCTTTTGTATGGGGTGCGGCCAACAAAATCGAAACTAGCCGCTCGAGGCCCCGGCAACACTGGAAATCAGCCGCCTTGTGAAAGTGACGTCAGGGTCGTTCTCGTTTAACGAGTACGCAGGCCGAGCGGCACCTACATCTGTAGCGCTAGCCGTCTGAAGATCGGAGGTAAGCTGATTCTGTTTTAATTCTGTATACGTGGTAGTTATTCAGCATATGTAACAAGAGTTAGTGCGTATATCCAAAAGCTAGCGACTGGAAAACCCGTGAACACGTACGCTGCCATACTCGGCGGCCGCCGCCGTGCGTGCGCTTTGCCGTACTCGTCGCTTGTATACCCAAATGCTAGCGACTGGAAAACGAGTGAACTCGTTCGGTGCCGTACTCGGCGTCTGTTGCCGTGTGTGCGGTCTTCCGTACTCCTCGCTAGGCCTAAATTGTAATCGGGGCTCCGTGGATGAAGGGGCGTTGCTCTACGCCGCGCTGCCATTGGCGTACAACATTGGGGGTTCTCTCGCTTTTGCGCTGCGGGTCAGTCCCAGACACAAAGCTTTGAGGCCCTCCGGCGTGGGCCGCGGCGCCCGAACACTCGTGTGCTGGGCTGTACGCGTCTGTTTTTTCGTTCTTTTTTCCTCGGACGCGTAAAAGCCTCTAATTTCCGGTCGTTTGGAAACTTGTGAAAAAGCACCTCCGTGTTGCGCAGTGGGTTGTTTGAGCAGCCCACAGCGCTAACAGTTGTACTCGGCATCTTTCGAGGAACGGCTGGGCTGTCTTGGGTGCACCGACTTGCTTGGTAAAACGAGTCTTGGAATCTTCACAAGCAAATAAACAAAAGGCTATACCGAAGCTACACGGGCTACAGATAAATGCAACGGCTAAACACGCCAATCACAAGCCGAAGTAGCGGTGGTAGCGGCTCAAAGAAGCGCACTCCGCGCAACGCCCAGACCGGAGGAAAAAAAGAGAACGATACTGACGTCATGGCCCAATGTTGCTTTAGGAAACGGCAAAACACTGGCCGCCCGCTAAAGAGCAGCGGCTCGCGGCGGGTCGCATTTTTATTATCGGCATCAGTTGAGAATGCGGCGTCCCACGGACGTAATATTTTGGCCGGGGTCGTATTTTGTGTCAGTACAGCCGTACCAGTAACTCATTTAATATTGCGTTTTGGCCGGAGTTGCCCTTTAATGGGTACCTAAATCTCGAATTTATTTTTGTAGGAATTTTCTACAGTGCTGGCCCTTGTCGCCTCTTCGTGTTAAGTCTATTGTTTCGTAATGCAAGAACTAAATTCAGACTGGCTATCTTCGAAGCCCCGCCGAATGTCGCCTACGCTGTGTGGGGCGCGCCTCTCCCCACACGGCGAACCTCGACCCAATAAAAGTCTTTGAGATTACACGAGGTTTCCCGCTCTTCGGAAATCAGGTGGTGTCCGTCTCAGCATAGGCTGACGAAGTTTAACGTTTTCTACGGCACCCAAACAGTGTTTTCGCAATGACTAAGAGCTTTGAATATTATGCCCGTCTTTTGGGGGCACGGCTTAATGTTTTGAACTGCAAAGAGCTTTGAGGATTTTCAAGATTTTTTGCTTGGCGGGGATTCCTTTCGTTTTAGAAACACGAATGCTTTCTGGATTGTGCATGAGTGACCGCCATAATGGGGCGGGCAGTTATATCAAAAATAGGGCAACAGGTATCTGGCCTCAAGATTCAACTTGTCTTCTTGCGGCAGAGTCTACCTAATCAAATCAGTGTTCACCGCCATGTAGCCTCCCCTCAAGACCCTCCCCATGGCACCCTTCCCCCCTCCGCCTCAAGAACTGCGCTCTAATATCACATTACAGAGAATCGTAAACGTCCTTCCTTTTTTTCTGTTTTTATGGTTTATTTAAGAAATATCGTTTGTTGTAGCTTTCTGTTACGCACTTTCAGTGTTACATTTTTCTTGCTGCAGAGGTTTCTGTACAAGCACCCCTTCCCATAATACGTTATCACGTCAAAGCTTATTTTTAAGTCGTTTGTTGTGTCACGCTGCGTTCTAAGCAATATCCTAGTAATTATTCTAGTGAGGAACATCGAGGCAGAGTTATAAGATTGTAAACCAAGGAGTCTGTAAAATGACAAAGCTTAGGCGCTCATTCTTTTGTTTTCCAATACGCTCAGGTATAGTAGAGAAAAAAAAAAACTACGTTTAGATACCAGTACTGAGTATGTTTCTGTTGACGTTACAACTTTGTCTTCACAAATCAGGGAAAGCTTTCCTAGTTCAGTTTGTGCCGTCAGTTATAGGGCCAGGGTTTAATCGTTCCGATATGTTGTCAAAACAAACAGAATGCGTTAATTACTTTTTAATTAATGCAAATAAATATATGACTTTAAACTAAACAAACTCACTGAGCGTCATTGAAATCCACTATATCATTAAATCTTAGAAAAACTTCGAACGCGTAGAGAGAACGATAATTCGCTAGCTAGCTGCCACTCCTCGAATAGGCGCAAGGCTGGGAGGGGGGGGGGGGGGGGGAGGGGAGGGGAGGGGAGAAAATCTGGATAAACGACGGAATAACTGCACCGGCGTTTATTCATTTCACCAGAGCTGCGCATCTTGCTTGAGTAATTATATTAACATACAACCGCGCTTCGCACACGATCGAAGTCTTTCCAAAAGTTACAAATTCAGAGTTTTCGATGGCGCCCAGTAATGTGCTAATAGGAAAAATGTGATCATCATTCGGTAAATAAAAACCTAATCAACGTATATTAATTAACTAATAAACTTATGGTGACGAATAACCCCTATAATATGTCCCGTTGTGCTAACTTCACTGCATAAACCAAATTACCGTGGCTTCCCCGAATTTCTTTTTTTTTTCTTTTTTCCGAAAGTTGTTTTAACATATTGCATATTTTGCGTTACAATTACTTTGGATTAGTGTTTGATAGAATGAATTAAAATACACAATTATTTTAGAAGGCTTCCGTTTAAACAAAACAGAGGAAAAAGAATATATCTTCAACTATTACGATTTTTAAAGCATGCAATGCTTTGTAATGGGGCCCCCCTCAACTCCAAATCCCAAAACTTTATCTCTCCGTCCGTCTCAGTTTTCGTCTATGTGTCCATTCATTTCCCGCTAAATTTAGCGGGGGAAATTGACGCTACTTGACCTAAACACCAATACACTTTCCTCGCTAAAATTAGTGAAAGTTTGATGTCCCGAGTCCTGCCACGAAACTTATACACCAATTTATTTTCCCATTTAATTTTGTCGGGGAAACTGATGTCACTCTATTTGGAGTGCCGTGATCTATAAACTAATATAGTTTCGCAGCTGGGTCTAGCGGGTAAGGTAAAGTCACGTGACCTATACGCCAATTCAATTTCCACGCTAAATTTAGCGGGAAATCGATGTCAAGTTACCTGATTTCACGTTACCACACTGATTCGGTTTTAAAGCTCCATAAAGCAAAAAAACTTTCCGTCACGTGACAAGGTATCACGTGTCCTATGCAGCGATTCAGTTCGTACGGTTAATTTGGCGGGGAATTCGGTATAACGTGATTTTTGCACCAAGTAGATTTCCCTGATAAATTCAGCGTGAAAAGTCACGTGGTTTGACGTCATAGATATGAATACAAAATCACTTTCCCCAGAAAATACGGCAGGGAAATTGATGTCACAGGACGCATGCATCATATTAGTTTCCCCATTGAATTGCGTTAATAGAAGTTTTTCACTCCCCGAAACGATGTATTCAAGTTCATTACCCTCAAGGACATTCCTACGATGGTGTTTTCTGGGGTTAAGTGCGAAAAATACTTAAACATGCTTACAATATACTAAGAAACTTCACAAATATACATAAGCGAAGTTTAGACAGACGGAAGAAAAATAGACATTGTCATTGGTGGTTCTACTAAGAACAGTATAACGAACCAAACAGAGAATAAAAAAGAATCGTGGTAGTGGAGTTGAGCATTTCGCGCAAAACACAGATACCTTGAAGACAATTTTAACATGTAAAAGATTGTTTGCACATGTATATCAACTATTTTAAATAGGCGAAAGGAAACTGGACATTGATATGTATAAAATATGCTTAATGTCTTCTATAAAAAAATAATGGTTGCTCCTCGAATTATTTTCTGTGTGTACCATAAAACTTTGGAAATATAGGTCGCTATCAATTTTTTATTAATAAGATTAATATTTCAATTGTTTTTACTCCCTTTATTATTGTTTTGAAATTTTATGTCCATTCCCCTATTACTGTATTTCCGATAATAAAAATGCAAGTGGAGATATTTGTTTTCAAATATGTTTCTAAAATACGTAAATTATTCTTACTTTATTGCTTGGCATTATTACATATTATATTGAAATATGTAACGTATTCGACCATCGTGAAACTATTCGATATTGTTTTACATATGATAGAATTATGAATGAATCAACCCCTGCTACCCTATGCAACCTGAAAGTTAGGTACAAGCTTTAATTTACGAAAAGAACATCTACAGTAACATATTGCTAACGGAAGGACTACCAGATATGGACACCCTACAAAGAGCCAAAGAGTCCCATATTTTTATGCAACCTTAAAATTACTTTGAGATTGTTTCTCCGCGGCTGATTTACTTTTTTTTTAGCTTGTCCAGCTTCAAAAGATAAGATGTGATGGCTGTAACAATCTTGCTGCTTATACAAACGAAATATGTTGTAGTAATAGGTTTTGCTTACCCAGACTGGTTTCCAAAATCGAAATGAAGAGGATAGGCGCCATTTACGGGTGGTCCGCTTTCTGTGTATTTAATGCACTTCTCTGATCCACCAAAGACTGGGTCAGACTCATAATTTCTGTAGATCGTGTACCAACTCTCTTGAAGCGGAAAGCACTGGAACGGAAATAAGTTCGAACAACTTTGTTAACTTTAAAATCAACAGAAGCAATCATCCATGTATACTCTGGAAAGGAACGACTATAGTCCTTTCAACTCCAGAAGGTAGGGCTAGGGTAAGACGGGTCAGGGAGGAAGAAGCAGAAGGAACGCTCCAGCGTTCCATCTGCTTCCCCCTCCTCGACCCGTCTTACCCTCGCCCTACCTTCTTGAGCTTCAACTGAATAAAATGAGTATATATGCAAGTTATACTTTTAAGAATCGTTTAATGCTACATTACAGCTTAACACATAAAGCGCTGCGTGTTTCCAAGGTATATTCACTTGGCCTAGCTCCTTCTGGTTTTAATGCATATAAGTTCAACAAACTCTAATATTCCTTTTTGTAATCAAGGCACTCAGGTTGACAGCTCGAAGCACTGTATGTACTTTTTTTGGCTGGGAGGTCAGCATAGTGTGCATCAGAGAAGAAATGCTGATTAACTAATGGCGATTGATGCGAAGTACGATATCATTTCTTTTACATTTTCTTCCCCAGACTTCTTATTTTATTACGCACCGCAAGTGGTCTTCTTTTCCTGACACCCGATGCTCTTCGTTTCATATTCTTTAAAAAACTCATTCCCTCTAGAATCGTATACCTACATTTTGAATTTGTAATTACCACTATTGATCAACAGCAATAGCAAAATTGAGGTTGTTATATTCTACTGGGTGTCTGAAGTGTCGAGGCTTGATTTGAAATGGGACGTTAAAATCGGCGCCTGCACGTAGCAATCTAGACTGTTCATCAAAGTTATGTTGCAGAAATGGGTTTTACATTGAAAAATTATAAATTTGAAAAAAATAGGGCCAAGAAACTTGTTAGGGTCAACGTCAGAAAGCGACACAGACGACCGGATCGAGTGGCGGGGAGCGTTTGGCGTACGTATTGATGGATGGCGCTACCTCCTTGTTCCGGTCAGAGGTTCCGGTTTGCTTTCTAAAAAACAATTTCTGGAGTGCCCGCGCTGATCGTGGTATATTCAAATGATCCTAATATTTTTGTAATGTACCTTTGGTTTCAAAAGAAATGCGGGCGATTATAGCGAAACGTGAATAAAAATAAAGGAAAACGCGGTTGCATAACGACGGCGCCCTTGTTTCCGACAGATCTCGTCTGCGTGTCGTCTGCTTTCTTTCACTGTTCGACTGCAACTTCCGACGCCGCTCCCGACGCCATTTCTCAATACGTGCACCAAACGTGCACCGCCACTCGACTCGGTCGCCTGCATCGCTGTCCGCCGTTGACCCTGGCGAATCTTTTGGCCCTATTTTGTAGTCAAAGGGGGCCGCGCCTTGGAATTTTATAGGAGAAAACCACCTGTGAAATACACCTTTGACGAAAAGTTTAGATTGCTACGTGCAGGTGCTGATTCTTGCGGCCCATTTTATATGGAGTCTCGGAATTTCAGACATCCTCTAGACTTCAAATTTAATTAGTCCATTTTATTAAACTAAAAGAAGTAATGTGCTATTTGAAATATCTACTAAATGTTTTTCAGTTCAAATATGTAGACAATTGTTAAATTAATTTTTCACTCTCTAACAATCATTCCCAAATATGATACCTTAGATTTCTATGACTTACTGGCGACTTGATTTAAAAAAAAATGCATTTAACAAAAGACAATTTCCAAATTCATTACTTTTGTGCAATTTCCGTCATAAGAGATACAAAAAATGCATAACGATCTTTATCTTCAAACTCCAAATACTAGATGGAATTCAGAATTCAAGAGAGAATGTTTCAGTTGTTTGGTAGATGTTAAACAATCGTTACGTGTGTAAAAAAACTATAAATTTATCAATTTTGGGGAAAGTAAATTGGTGTGTCACTTGACCTGGGAGGGAGAAGGCGTAGGGTTAGGTGAGGGGAGGGGGGACGGAACTGTAGGAGAGGGAGGAAGAAAACAGGAAGGGAGTGGGGGATGGAGGGGAAGAAAAGGCAAATAGGAGTGTGAGAGGGATTGGGAGAGGGATAAAAAGGAAAAAACGAGAGAGGGAATGTGTGTGCTGCGTTACACATAAAAAGTTAAGTGCAAATCTAGCATGTTGGTAGCAATATCCGCCATAAGGAACATAACACAGGGTGTCCGTCTTCTTTTCTTCGTTACCTTCCTCATGTTGGATATAGAAGGGGTTTCCAAAAACTCGAGCAAAAGCGCTCCTGCCAAACCTAGGCATCGTACGAAAAAAACAAATATCTATGCCGTAGTGGTCTGTGTCAGCTGGTCCATTAGGGAAGTTTATTCGATTTTAGTATATTTGGGAAAATAATAAATTTGTAGTAATTAAATTGTTAATTACTGATTTTAAAGGCATGATTTCGATTAGTATCGTGGTGGGCATCATCGAAAGCTACTAAATACTACATTACAGTAATATAAGCAGCCCGCAGCGTTTTCCGGCGTTCCAAAAAAAAATGAACAAGTAGGGACGCCTTTTTGGGTCTCGGTTTCTTATCGGAGCGGATCTCTGCATGGACAGCCACGCCTATCGTATCTAAAACGCGCGACGGTCTTGCGCCGCCAAGTATTGCGAGTCATGGTGCGCCTTCACACTGGCACCGATGTCATATAGGCAAATCTGATGTGACAGCCCGGAGTCTTTCTTATCAGCCTCTCATACGTGCGATGCATGGTGGCTCACGCACGTTGCGCGTTCTAGCCGCAGGGAGCGGATTTCTGGCGCGGAGATGCGCACCGATGGGAGAGCGAAACACAAAATTTAGATCCAAGTTGAGCTTTTTTTTTTTGAACGCCATAAAATGCTGCGTGTTCATTATATCTCTGTAACATGGGTTTATTTAGTAGTTTTGGAAGATGCCCAACAACATTATAAGTGAAACCATGCCTTTAATATGACCACTTAACAGTTTAAGTACTCAAAATAAATAACTACCCATATATATTGAAAGTTAATCATTTTCCTTAATGGCCCTTTGACAAAGACCCTTACGGCATAAACGTTTTTTTTTTTGTGTGTGTGTGATGCGTAGTTTTTGAAGGAGCGATTTGGTCCGTGTTTCGAGAAACGCCCTGTATTTTTTTTTTGCTAAATTTAATGAGAAAACCGAATTTGTCACTTGAGCAGCAGGGCGCACCTTAATAGATTTGGGACGGGATAAGAAGAGAAACGAAAGGGAAAGTGAAAGGAAGGGGAGAGGAAGAGGAGTGAGGGGAGGAAAGCAGATGATGAGAACAACTTTCAACGGTATCGGCTAAGGAGAGAAAACGAGGGGAAAGGGTGTAGAGGGACGAGGAGCTGGAATTGACATGTGACGTAATGTATGCTTTGTCTCTAAATTTTGCTTGCAAATTGAATTGTTGTATAGGTCACGTGACATCACGTTACGTGACGTCGATTTCCCTTGCTAAATTTACCTGTGAAGTTTAAGTTGAGTATTGGCAACTTGACGTTAGTTTCACCTTTAAATTTAGCGGGAAATCTTGTTTAGGCTTAGGACACAAAATGTGAATTATCCCGCTAAACTTAGCGGAGAAACTCAGTTGACGTGTAGGCAAGCCGTGGCGTAAATCGTTACACTTTGTGTACAGGTCAAGTGACGTAAGATTTTCGGCTAAATTTAGCAAAATATGCAGGGACGCACGGAAGGACGGACAAAATTTCGTGACTGAAGGTTCCGATAAAAGGTATTTCATGCTTTGAAGAAATTGGCAGTGACCTCTGCCTTCCTAGTCTTCTAATACATAAATTTCGACATATAGGAAGTGACCGTTTTAATATGTTTAGAATATTACATGGTCTTCTACAGCATGTCGCGTGGATCAATATACTATATACAAAGGAGCTGGCAAGGTGACGTCGAGTAAAGTGACGTCAATTTTCGCACTAAATATAGCGGGTAAAGAAAATCGGTGTATAGTTCACATGGCCACATGACTCGTGACATCAATTTTTTTTGCCATATTTGACGGGGAAACCGAACTGGTTTGTAGAGACGTTGGTTGTTTAGGACAGAAGAAATTGTGCGACCAAGTCCGAGCCCAGGTGAAATCATTCTGGGTCAGACGCACCAACTCTTCAACTTAGGAGCCGAGTACAACCTTGGGATGTGCCGGCTGCCCTCCAGGCTGCTTCAGGACAAGATGTGTCTTTATCCAAATAAAAAAAAAAAAGAATGCTGGCCATTTATCAAAATAAAAAAAATATATACATATATGAAGAGAGCTTTCTGACTTTGGCAAAATGCGGAGTGAACTGAAAGTGTCACTTCACAAACACTTAGGGCTAAGCTTAGCCCAATTAAAAGGTGAAAAAGAAAATCTTACCGACGTTGCAAAAAGGTGGGCTGAAGGGAAATGTATTCCTTGCCACTCATTTGGGGCGGAGACATTACTCAACAAAAAGGTAAGAAAAACAAAAATCCTACGAACATTAAAAGTTATCATAAAGAAAACTACTCGTAACACCAACCGACAAACCATCTGTGCCCTGCCCGCCATTACTAAGTAACGAAAACGAACCTCTCCTCTCAGCGGTTGTTTACATATTTGCGCAGCCAGACAAAGGAGATACTTGTGAAAGGGACAATGAGCGTAGCCAGAACGAGGTAATTTAAACGGTAGAAAAATTGAAAAAGTACGGTCAAGTAAAGGAAAATAAAAATAGTGACAGCAATACTATTAAAACATAAAAAAACACTGCACGTTGCGAAAAAAAGCACAAAAAACAGGGATCACGGTAAGCAGGAATGAAACATTGTATTGAAACAAACAGACAGAACTGAGTCATGTCCGGGTTCTTCAGTCTCTTCAACCTTCAATCAAACTTGGCTACAATCTTCTGTTATCCCAATATACATTTACATTTCATCATCGTAAATCCGACATAGTATCCACCAACATATGGGGATGAAGGGAACTAAAATACCCAGCCAGTTATTTTCCAGACACAAACTCAAATGTCCCAACCTGAACCAACCCAACCTAACAA